ATGATAATTCATTCAACTACTTTTCTTTCCAGCCTTTTATTTTCTCCCCCTGATGTTGGAAAGACTTATCCATTAACATGGTAGTCTATAAATCGAGCCTTACTTAAATCCTTCAGGGATAGCTCTAGATATTATCAATGGAGATTCATATCCAACATCTACAATCTCTTTTGAAGATCCATCTTATATTGCTGTGGTGGAGCAATGTGGATGTTGCACATCCAAAGGTTTCTGACCCAAAACCAATTTTGATGGAGTTTTTTGCTTTACCAATATGATTTAATGTAAACATGATGTCACTAGCACTACTAAGTAATCTTGCAAACTTCAGGTTGCAAGATTGATACATTCAACCAACTTGTTGGATGTATTAAGAAACACAATGAAATTTCTTAAGAGGATGATTAGTCCACAAAATGGGTTATTAAACCATATGTTCTTGTATACTCTCTAGAAAATGAATAGACTCAAAATCTATTTTGGCTAGTGATATTATTGTATTATCATAATCTCATAATCTCTTATGATAAATATCACATTAGAAATCATTAAGAAGAATCTTCTAGTTCTTCAACAAATGTCTACATGTTGTATTTTACTTCGCATAATTCTTGAACGGAATGGTCTAACCAGTTCATGCCAAATTATGTTAGATTCAGTAAACTTCTGGTTTACTATAATATCTATTTAACTTTTCCTATTTATTGTATATTGAAATTCCTTGAATTACTTTATATATGATTCATCAGGATCATTCATCTTGATATAATCTTCTGGATTATGAATTAGGGATTCTTACACTTTTCTTGATCAATGATCAAGTTTATCTTGAGTGTGAACATAATCTTCTAGATGTTCCATTTATTATTGATTGTGGGATTCATCCATTCTCCCCCTCGAGATGATGATACTTCAGGTTCATCTATCTCGAATTGAATTCCAATATAAAATCAATAACCTCTTTAACCATTTACTTGTATATCACATTCACTTCAGGGAATTGATCATAACCAATTGGATATGATTTTCATCAATGATTCAATGTAAAATTGTCTAAGATTATTTTGTCTACAGGACAATATGACAATATTATTTAGAGTATGCTTTTTAGCATCTCTATTGATATACATTATCTTCTATATAGTTAAAAGTTATTTACAGACTTCAGGTCTTGTAATCTTTCATGAAAATTTAAGATATCATATAGAGAATAATAAAATAAAAATAAAAATAAGTATATATATATAAATAAATAGAGCATAATCAAAATAAATATTAATAATATATACCATTTATTATCACTTCTGGTGACAAATTTAGTTTAAAATAAAATTAGAAAGATAAGATATAATTTGAATAAATTCTCAAATTATATTATCACTTCAGGTGATAATGTTTTTTGTGTCTGCAAGACAACAAAATTTTCTTGATGTATTTTAACATCTTCATAATATTTATTATCTCCACTTATAGACTTCAGGTCATGTGGTTTTTGATGCAAATACTAATATATAAAATATAAAATAAATAAATATTATCAAGCTACATAAATATATAAGTAAAACATGATAATAACAATTAATATTAGTAACATGTACTATTTTATTATCACTTCAGGTGACAAATTTAATTTTAAAAGAAAATAATAATTAAAAATCATTAAGAATTTCTTTGCTATTGTGTCTACTGGACAACAATGTTTTATAAAATACTCAGTATTTATATATTGTGTCTCAGGACAACAATGTTTTCTTGATTTCTTCTAACACATTTGTATTAGTAGTATTATTTCCACTTATAAACTTCAAGTTTATATGATCTTAGATACTATAATTTTCTTTAGATTACTCTATTGTCATATCACTTCTGGTGATATTAGATCATATCACTTCTGGTGATAAATCTTTTTCTTTAGATAATGTTTCAGATCATATCACTTCTGGTGATAATTCTTTTTCTTTAAACTACTTTAAAGAATTTGTGGATCTTTTATAGCCATTGGTATCAACATCTTAAACTCACAGTGAATACCAATGATATAACAATTAAACCAACAATTGACTCATTGTTAAAATATAACGAAAAGAGTATAATGCATCAACGAAATTAACAATTAACTCCATGAGTATAATGTATCAAGCGAATGTGTAACTAAAGTCATATAAGAAAGTTGCTATGACATATATAAATACTAGATCCTTCCAATTTATGTCGGCAATTCTTAAATAATAAAGTATATGCATAAAATTCGTTTCTAATTCAGTCAGGAATAATGATCGTGTAAACAATGGGCTAACAGGCCTAATATGTATTGAATATTATATACTTTAATTTAATGAAATAGATCAATATGCAAAATTCGAGATTGCAAAAACAGATCTATAAAACCCTAATAGTATTCAGTATATTGGATTCAATTTAATTCAAAGAGTAATGTTCAGATTTACGAACTTTATGTGAACTATGTGCTAAAACAATATGCAATCTTCATGGAAGATATTTCAAAGAGTAATATTCAGGTTTATGAACTTTATGCAAACTATGTGAAAGCGTATAAAATAAAATTCAGCCGTGCAAATAATGAGAGATCAGATCTAAAGATGTTGATATACATAGAATACAAGTTCATATTATAATAAATAAGTGACGATGACATGTTATGCATAGTGACCATATGAACAGTAAGAACAATGAGTAGATTCAACGTTGTAGTATGCACAGAATTCAAATTCATATTATAATAAATAAGTGTCGAGGTAGTACTGAGGACAAGAAGGAGATCTATATTATAACATTCGAAGAAATTGCAAATATAGTGCCGAAGAAAACAAGGCAAATCGTGTTGAAACGAATGAATGAATAATAATAATAAATAATCTTAATAAATCATCAAGTCACATATAGATGGTTCACGATAACGGAGATCGGATGCATCAATATATGTGATCTTGAGAATTAATGTTGAGAACCATGAGTCGATAAATAAACATGGATCTTAATATTTATGAACAAGAAAATTAACATCTAAAACTATACCTTTTAATTCAGACGGCTAGAACTCGTGCTGATAACGTGTTATAGTAAGAAGAGAGAACAAGAGAAGAGATGAATTGGTTGTGTATTATTCATGAGTAATGAGTCTTTTATATAGGGATACAAAAGAAAGATTTACTTGGAGAAGAGATACAACTTGGAGAACAAGCTAGAACATTATAGAATATATGCCAATAATGAGCTTCCATATAAACTAATCATAACAAGAACTGATTAATCAGTTCCTTTTGTTTCCTTCATTGACATTAGTGGCTTTTAAACGATAGATGGAATGATGGTCTTGTGTTTTGAGGATTTATCTTCTAATAAAGAATTCTGCTTTTGCATGTTTTAGCATTTTTTTTCTTTCTTTCTATTATTCATGTCAGTTTGTCAGATGTGATCAACGCAAGAGTTCATGTGGAAGTGGAAAGATGACTTAAGACAATCTTTTAAGTGTGGTTGGGTATAATAGAAGCTTTCATGATATGATATAGCGAGACTGGTTTTCTTCTCTGAGAATTTGATGTCGACACACGTACAAAAGAAAAAAAAAAAAACTCACACTTTCAACAACATTATATTTCCTGAAAATATGATTTATGCAATTGTATAAGAAATTTTGCAAACCATATAAGAACAAAGGTTTTATGGAGTAAAAGATTTAACTTATAGAATTGGTCGTTGCTTGATGAATTACAAAGAGTGAGTTCTATTTTATTACTTAATAGATCAAGAAATGTTGTTGAAATTTCTCTGTAATCTCTGATAATTGTGGTCTACTGACAGTCTAGAACAGAGTTTAACATGGTTCTGTCTGGATTAAGGTGATAAGAAACGATGTACGAACTCTTTATTGTATTTGTATCTTATTCCTGAAATATGCTCTTTTTTGTATTTGTTATAAAAAATATGAATAAATGCAATTTCTCAATTTGGATAATCTCTATATGCAGTGATTTTTCAATAACAAGACCACCAAGTTCTGTTCTACGTGTCCTGTTATAATTAAGTGGTAATTGGTTCTTTCTCCAATTTTCTAATATTTGTGGTCGAGAAGAAGCAAGATTTAGGTCTTGGAGCTTTGTTATTAAACAGAATGGAGTTAAGTTTTTGGCTGCAAGTTTATACTTATGAATGGAGTTACTATTACCAGTATGGGATCTACCAATCATGTTTGATCTCTCCTTTACGCGGAATTCGAAACGACCCTATGGGCAATCAAATGTGTCTATCAATAGTAAATTTCCCCCAGGAGGCTCAAGTTATAAGTAAGTTTGCAACAGTCATTTGTTGTTCTAGTATTCAACTCAACTATAAGCTATGTGATGTTTGTTGTTATAACTTGTTATACACGTAAAGACCGTTTGAAAAGTTGAGGGTTCTGAACACGAATGAGAAATTTGCTAAAAATGATTTTTGTGAGAGGACAACGTGAGCGTGTGAACAAGCTTTGAGATTATTACGTGCCGATGTAGGCCAACTCTAGAAAGAATGAAAACCAACTCTTATATGATCTTGGGGATGGATAACCCTATGTCTAATGTCTGTGTGTGTGTTTTGGACTTCACATTTTGGATATTGAGCTATATAAACCATGTTAGTTGTATGTGTATATTGACCAGCTTTGGATTTGCATCGGGCAAATCAATGTTTTAATAAAATAATTTGATTTTTTTCTTAAGCGGTGACACATAAAAACCCTATTCCGATGAGAATGAGAGAGTTTGAAGTACACATTTATGGGAAAAGATATTTAATTATTCTTTCTAAATGTAAATGAAAGAGTACATATTAAATCCTATACAAGCTATATCATTGAATCTAAGTTAACCAAACAATCAAACCAATTAAACCGAGTATAACTCCAAGAAACCCTAACTTGATTATAGCCCTGTCTATAATTATCGAGGGAAAGACAAGCGTGAAGTAAAAGAAAAAGAAAACTCTGTTTGCGGCTTTGAAGAATGACGACAATGTCCAATATTCCAGAGGATTTGGTAGGGGAGATACTCTCTAGGGTTCCAATGACATCTCTGGGCAAAGTGCGATGTACTTGTAAAGCATGGAACGCTTTGTCCAAAATTCAGATTTTTGGTAAAAAAGCAGCAGCTAGGAAACAGGTTCTAGGGTTCATGGTGATTGGTTCTAGGGTTTGTTCTTTCAGTCTCGATCTCCAAGGAATCCTCAGCGAAAGAGACTTAGTTGTTCCATCTATAAAGAAAATAAGCAAATTCGATGAAAGGAAGATATCTTATGTATCTCACATTGACGGCTTATTGTTCTGCGTCGACAATGAGAAGCTCCTGGTGTGGAACCCGTACTTGGGGAAAACCAGATGGATCCAACGACCTAAGATAGTTTCCGACCAAAACGACATGTTTGCTTTCGGATACAACAACAACCGTAACCACAAAATCTTTAGGATTTTACATGAGTACAACAAAGGTGATGGAGAAGACCTCCCTGACATTTACGAATTGTATGATTTTAACTCTAATTCATGGAGGAGGGTTCCTGATGTAAAACAAGATTTTTATGTAGTTACTGATCGATGGCTCGTGTCGTTGAAAGGAAACACTTACCTTGTTGCTGAAGACAGGGCTGTGGACAAATACTTTTTACTCTGTTTTGATTTTACAATGGAGAGATTTGGTCCGCGTCTGCCTCTGCCCTATAACTCTGTTGAATACAGTGCGGCTATATCTTGTGTTAGAGAAGAGCAGCTCGCTATCTTATATCAGGATGAAGAGACAATGGATATTTGGACTACGACTAAGATTTTGCCAAATGCGGTTTCATGGATCAAGTTTTTCAAAGTGGAGATGACAACCCTCAATGGTTTTCCGGATGACTTTGGGTCTGAAATCCATACTGAGAGCTTCTTCATTGACGAGGAGAAGAAAGTCGTATATGTTTTGGTCAGGTGAAAGCAAACCCAGGACCCATCACTGGAGGCTTGGCTCCAATATATGGAGCAGCTGGGAAGATGCCGGATCGAGGCATGGTGAATGAGCTTCTTGTTAGTTTCATGGACAGTCAATATTAAGTTTGCTTTTAAAGGTCAGAGCATCATCAAGACTTTGTGTACAATCACAACCACATTGTTTAATTTTCTTTACTAAAATATCATAATAAACAACTTAGTTTGTAACATTACACATTCACAAGAGAAAAAGATGATCAATCAGATTTGTGGTCAGATTCAGAAGGTCTTGGTCTAGGAACATGAACCGGCTTGTCCTCTTGGCTCTTCGCCAATACCTCGTCTCTTTCTCTAAAGTACTGTTGGAATGCTCGAGGTAGGAACCTAGGGATCAAGAAACAGAGTAGATTCACTCCAAAGTAGGCAAAATTTGCTACTGCCAAATACCTTCCAAACCAGAACCAAGCAGACACCTGCAAAACGTTTTCAAAGGTTTAACTTTCACCTTAGACGGTAAAAAATGAAACTTACTATCGACAAGACAAGAGGGGTATTAGCCGTTACATTGGGTGTAGCATTGACCGGTAAGGATTTGTTGAACCAAACATCTTTAGTCCAATCAATGATGACAAAGATTCTCCAGACTGTGTAGAGCAGTGGCACGAGAGCTCTTACCGGCGGCGAGAACAGAGAGAGCCCACTTATTATATTCTCTGTCAGGATCTGACACGACAGTAGAAACAAGTGTGGTGTTGCTGATCTTACCGCATGATCGTCTCCTCTTGCGAAACCACCTAACACGTAAGCTAGAGGCAAGAAGAGACCAATCGTTGTCCCCGAAACCACGTAAATCCTTGCATTATCAAGAAATTATAAGAAAGGTTAAGAATCTTTATCAAGAAAGTGAACAGAGATGTGTTTCTTTTTTCTTTCTTTCTGGCGATGGATTTGGAACCTGAAGAGTTTGCTGCCGTGGAAGACTTCAGGGGAAGTGGTGGTGACGCCGTGGGAAGGGAAAGCTAAACGCGAGAGGGCTATTATATAGAGAGACGCAAACGCTGGGAAGAGCATGTCGAGTATCGGTACGAGACCGCTCGCTGAGAAGACTAGTATGAACGCAACCAGCTGTAACTCTATTACCCTCAGTGATCCCATCAAGCCGCCACCTCCGGCTGCCGTCATCCCTGACCACGGTTTTTTCTCACCGGACGACGACGACGACGACGTGCTGTCCTTGTCGGTTCTTGGGCCCACCGCAAGAGACACGCCTGACATTATTTCTGTTCTTTTAATAGTTTTTTTTTTTCGTTTTCAAAGTTTCAAACGGATAAGTACTTGTAACAACGGAGACGCTGTAGAAGTAGAATTTATGAAGAGCGGATCTCTTGTTAACGTAGTTCCACGTGAAGCTTGGGTGATGTACACGTGTCCAAGTGAAGACGTGAGTGTTCATTGCCTGCCTTTCTACGTGTCATATGTTGCAATGTTAATTATATTGATTGTTAAAAAGATCGATTAAGAATAAATTAATCAAACCCGAAAAGAACAGTAAAAAAAGAATGAAAGCCGGTCATATATATGATCCTAATTAAGGGCAAAAAAGGGCAAGAATCAAGATTAAGATATTTTCAAAATGGATATGAACTATTTGAAAGTGATTTTCAGTTTTGTGCAAGTAAAAACAAAACACATGAAGAAACATCTAGTGGTGATTTATCTTTTGGAGTATACTACTCAACGGAATTGAACATATATTGATTATTTTTGCTTTTTTGGCTTCTCTATTTTTCTATTCTAATCAAACTACATAATTAAAGGAACAATGCATCATCCTTTAGTTTAGTTGGAAACCTTCAAGATTGAATTTGACAGCCTAAAGCTACTACTTACTTTACTGGGCGTACATTGTTCTGATTCTTCATTGTCTCCTTCCCTTGGATATCCGCCTGGTTGTAGAACAATAATATGTTCATAAAAACAATGAAAAAAAAAACAAAAAAAAAAACAAAAGAACACAAGTGCTTTAGGCAAATTTCTCTGCCTTTTCTTTTAACGTACGCTACGTTCCTACAAACTTGGAAAGATATTATGCATCATGGAAAACAGAAGGTGAATACATAGTTATATATGTCCTATCAAACTAGAGAGCAAGAGCAATCAGTTTAATTAATTATTTGCAAAACATTAGAAACTAATCAAGGAAATGGCTTTAACTTTGTACCGTGGGAGTTTCTTCAAATGTGTGGATTTAGGTTCTCCTCTTGTCAACAACGTGTGCCCACTATATTGCCCCTAGAGCCATCTTCAAAATAAAGATCACCAGACCGACAAGGTTAAACGAAATGTAAACCACAGCTACGGCCAAAGACACAGCCATAAGCTTCATCATCTTAAAAACGGCTCGGGCTCTGATGATCATGTACATGATCTCCATGGCTTCCTCTGTCTGGCCGCTCTCGCAACAAGCAGACGCAATCATAGCCACGTTTTGGATATCATACTTGTGTTCAAATAAGTCGCCAAAATACATCTCCTTGAAAACCTTTATTGCCCCATTGATATCGTTTAATTTCAACAAGGCACTAATTACTGATCGACATTCTTTGTCTTTAACGTCGACCTTGTACAGGTCCCATATACGGTAAACATCTTCACCCTTTCCTGCATCACCATACAACACCGTTAAAGACTCGTAAACTAGCTTCTTTGACGTGGGATCTACTAATTCCTTGGCTCTTCTCATCTTCTTTACTGCCTCCACAACTAAACCATGTTTCAGGCAAGCTTCTGCCATCTTGCAGCTCGTGCGCCAGTATAAAGTGAATATTGTATTGGCATCGTACTCTGCTAATAGCTTCTCCATTGTTTTGATATTGGATTCCGCTGCGTAAAGCTGAAGTTTTGAGTTTAGCGTGAGATTGTCTGGCTCTACATTGTTATCCTCCATTTCTTTCAGAATCTTGTGCACCATATCTCGCTTACATAGCTCATTGTAGCTTATCTAGCTGAATGTAGAGAGACATCATGTGGTTAAACGAAGCGGGTTTACAAAGGAACCCTAGCTCTTTCGTCTTCAAGAAGATGAACTCAGCTTTATCAAGATTTTTCTCAGATCTTGCATAGAAGCTTAAGATAGTTGCGTAGACAGAACTTCCCTGCTTGTTCTCGGCAATGCTTTCGAAGAACTTCTCTGCTTCTTCCAAACCTAGAGCGTTTCCAGTTAGGTTAAGACGAGCTGCGAAATCTTCTGGAATTAGGTCGAAAACTTTCTGCTCACTCATCCACTCTGATACCTATCACGACCAATATTTAAGACAGCAGATCGACTATACATATCCTGATGAATGTTACATTGAATTGAGAGAATCAAAATTGAAGAGGAACCTTGAGAGCTTGGAGAGATCGTTCAGAGTCGCGGAGGGTATCGACGATGCTCCTGAGATCAGAAGGATTCAATTGATTTCCCTGTTTCATCCATTTTTCAAGCACCGGGACGAATGAAGCCTTCCTGTGATTGCCGGCCTTGGCGATATGATGGTGCAGACTGTCATTAAGCTCCGGCGAAGATAGGGTTCCGGCAGATCGAAACAGATACCTCCTGAAAGATTGGATGGACCTTGCGGCATGGTTGAAGACTCGGCCTCATCATGCTTTAGGCGATAAATAATTAAAAACAACTTTTGAGATATTAGCTTAGCCTATTAGGGCTTTGACGTCATGAAAGAGAACCAGTCAGTAAAATTCATACCTACTAGACTATTAGGTATGAATATGATTTTATTTCTTCTATAGTTTGCTTGTCTTTCATGACGTCAAAGCCCTAATAGGCTTCTGAACTTGTCCACAACCACAACTACACATTCTTATACGAGTTGTCAAAACCTTTCACACATCCATTAAAGATCTATGCAGCATATACAAAGATAGATTGTGAAATCTCTTGTCAAAGCCTCCATTAAAATGCCGCATTGTTATGTTAGTGTTATACATAGTAGTCTTGCAGAAATATATTACTATTTGCATAAGAATGAGTCTAATCAATCGTAATTATTCTTGGGATGCTTGAGAAGTTTTGGAGAATGTTTGGTCTCTCCGTCAACATATTCAAGACAAGTCTCTTTCACTATCTTTTTACCCTTGAATAGTTGCAGTTGATAGATATTGCTGCATGCCTTGGACAGTTAGACCAACAGTGTTTCCAGTGAAGTGTCTCGGTATACCCCTTAAGCTCCAAGAAGCTTTTGGAGCGCTGCTTAAAAAAAAAATATATTATTCTTATGAGAAGTTTTTGGGTATATTACCCTATACTTCAAATAAAGTTATGGATAGCATGCCCTTGAAATTCTTGTAGAAAGACAATCGTTGAGGCTCTGCAGGAGGAATATGTATGGTAGGAAAAAAGAGAGGCTATTTCCTTGACTGAAGTCACCGTTCTGAGACTTCTTTTAGACCTAACTCTCTATGTGTAGCAATATCGGTCACACATAGCAGATTACAAAAGAAAGACTTGTGGAACATTACCAAACGAAAAAGAAAAAAAGACTTGTGGAACATCTAACTCGTCTCTAGTGGAAAAATAGTAAAAATTATGCGGCAGTTAAGTAAGGAATCCAAAACTAAAAACAAATTCATTATTTCGATGAAAATCTATATAACCAACCCACTCTCTACTTGGTTTTCTTCTCAATCCCCACCACCACTACACCCACCAGAACCACCACCACCACCACACCCACCACCACTACCACCGCCACCACCAGCACTACCACCGTCACCAGCACCAGCACCAGCACTACCACAGCCACCACCACCACCACCACTACCACCGTCACCACCACCACCAGCTTCACCACCACCGTCATCACCACCAGCTTCACCACCATCGCTACCGCCACCGCCATAGCTATAGCCATCGCCACAGCCACCATAATAGTAATATCCCGGAAGGAGGTAAGACCCCCCTTCACCACCTCCTTTGCTTCCATATGCTCTTAATATTTTTCT